TACCTAACTAGTACTTTTGCTGTTAATACTTTATTGATGGGTCTTGACTGGCCTACTCGGCTGCAAGCAAGCAGGGACTAAGTCTTTAGAGCTGTATTTCTATTCTCCAACAGAGCCTGTTTGAGTACGAGGGAAGTCGGCGTGAAAATGCATAAGAAAGAATTTAAAATTGTTTTCCTTAAACACAACCCTGCCTATGAACACCATGTACAAGGACAGATTAAAGAACAAGGAAGTGGTAGGATCCACTCAGAAGTGTTTAGCTGCCATGCAGAGCAGAACTGGATTTTCTCACCCCCCCCCAATTTCCTTCTAGGCTTTTTGAGATTAAATTGCAGTGATAAATACACAAAACACCAATGAAAGCAAAAACAGCTAATTGGGGCCACTCTTTTGGTCATATTTCATTGTTATGACCAGGAACACTTGAAAAGCCACGCTTGTCTCGGTACTCCCCAAAGGTGCGCAGACGTGGGGAAGCCATACAGTACGAGACTTCACAGCTCAGAAAAATGTGATGGCCATCACGTAACAGTGACACACTTCAAAGAAAGCAGATGACTTCCAAAGACAAACACTGACCTAAACAAGCAAGACACCTTGGCTGACATAATAACATCACTTTGCTGTCGAAAAGAGCTGTCAATTTCTGAGGAAGGATTATATCAACTTCTCTCCACTTGAACTCTTTTGCCTTTGTGAGATCTTACAACTCTATTTACTTGAAGGAAATAGTAGGAAGGTCCTGGATAGATAAGAACTCTCCCTTTATAACTCTGTTCTGGAAAACAGAACAAAAATAGGTCAGTTCTTAAGGAACGGATGGCTGCATATATAAATAATGTAAACACTCCTATCGCTGTCCTGGGGAGGACATTTATCATGCAGACAATGACAGAAACCCAGACCTGGCCAATAAACTGTTCTGTTCTCAGACCCCTATTTAGAGCGTTCAAATTTTGAATTGTCGATTGGAAACTTGATTATTATCAGTTACAAATAACTGGGGAACTCTGGCAATGATTTAACTTGTTTGACTTTCTTAAGCTAACAATTAACATTTTAGACTATTGCTGACAAAATATTTAACTTTCCCATGCCATTGGTGCAAACGACTTTTCTAGTGTCCCCCAGGCGCCTGGGGGACACTCCTTTCTGAAGCTGCCCAGGTTCACACAGAGACCTATGAAGGATGTGCATTCAGAGACCCTAAACAGTTCCCCAGCACTGCCCATGTTAACGAGGGTTTTCTGGGACCTTCAGGAACACTTAAGTACACTGATAACTCAGTCTTATCTTGACAGCACTGAATTTGAAACAGCAATCCCTGTATTTACAATAAAAGCTGTTTCACCATTTCAACAGACAACTGAAAGCTTAAATGTACTTTTAATCTCTGGAAAAACGAGTATTATGATTTGTTGTTCAGTAGTTTATTATTAGTGATATTAGTAATAATGCCTTCATTTCTGCAGTGGTTTATTTTTTCCAAAGCTTGTTCAGCGGAAACACACATTCATTTGCTTCTCTCAACAACCCAGGGCAGTGTTATTGTTCTCTGAGCCTTACAGATGATTGCTAAGTAACTTGTCCTAGGTCGCCCAGCTGGTAGTGATCAAGCAGGCACAGAACGGAGGGTGCAGACTCCTCGTCTGATCTGCTTTATTTCCTCCACACTACATTAGAGAAAAGATAATCTCTAAAGCCAGAGATGACTTGGAACCACTTATCTACCCATCCTAGCAACAGTGGATGCAACAGAAAAAGAGCTTGTCTCAGGCAAAAGGGAAAGATTAATAATGCACCACGGAAGCTCTAAACCGTACTGTTCCGCGGACCAGCAATTATTCAGTTTTACAGTCCATTCAGAGACTCAAACATACTTCACCAGAAAATGATTTAGTGCCTAAAGCCTGCTCCAAGTGGTTAGAAATGCAGATCTGCTTAAAGCCTTACAATCCGGGCCCTCTAAAAGGCTCTGCTCCGACAGTCCTCGCAGCAATGGGGCTTCCCCTGAACTTGTACTTGAGCTAAATGAAGAAACTGGCTGAGTAAGGGCTGTTGAATGAGGCTCTCAGTGTGGATGGAATTAGAACTGCCTCGGAGGTAATTCTTGCATTGTTCTTGTATCTTAGGCTATTGAAAAAACTCAGGCATTATATATTTCTCGCGGTGTAACACCCCTCAGAGTCAACGCTATCCTACGGAACAGAAGTTCCCCTTTCGCCCTCATTCAAATATTCCCAATTATATACAAGGCATTGTGCTGGCAGGTAGGCAGGATACAGAGCGTCCATCTGAGGACGCAGTACGCATTTGATTTGAGATGATCAATATGCTCTGCCTTTCTCCAAAGGATGTTTATGGCCACTTATGGCATATGAATTAACTATGAAAGCGATACATTCAACATACCCAGAAAGAAAGAAATCTGGTTATGGACACAGGAACAGTACAATTAAGAAAGAATTCTGACACCCATTCTGCACAAAAGGCCTTTTTAAAATAATAGTATTTTTGAAAATAAGAGGAGCCGAGTGAAGTAGACCTGCAGGTCTAATCAGCTTGGTGAATCACTCCCAAATGCCCGGGCCTCCCTTCACACACAATGTTATCAGGTTAATACAGTACTTGCATCACCATCTCTCCAGTGCCCAGCTGAGTAACAAAGCACCAAATTTAGAAGCCAAAATGGAGAAGGGAATTTCCAATAACCAAAAGGGGAGTGGTGGGTCACCTCTTACAATCCTACACATTTTCAATGGAAACCAACCATTAGAAGGGAACTGCTCTCTGTACCCCTAACTCACAGGGCCCCTCGCATCCTCACTGCATTCAGAGAGGGCAGACTGCTGAGGGGCTGTTTCAGGTGATGGCTGGTGGTTAGGAGAGAGAACACAGATTCCCTTAGACCAGGGTGGTACAGCAGGTACCTCTGGCTTCTGCAGCAGTTGAAACCTGCAGTCGGGAAAGGCCAGACACTGTTCTCTCGCTTCCTCCCAATGTGGATATTGCTAATCATAAAGTTACCAAACCACTGAAGCTGGTTTCATTTCACCCCCCCCCCCAAAAAAAAAGGCAGCCTCATCTTACTTCCAAGCTGGGGAAAGCAAAAACCAAAAGAGCGAGGTCGTGAGCAGGCATGCCACCTTCCTTGCAAAGGCTAGGATGTGACGCCCACATCCAGTGCTGGCACCCAGAACAGAGATTGTCTTCTCCACTGAGCAGGGCCGGGCACCTTGCTCCCGCATCATCCCCAGAAACACTTACCAGGAGACTGTGAGACACACAAAACCATATTCCTGGGAGACTTGCAGGCAGATTATACATTTACTGGGGACCATCAAGGCATTTAGATACTTTTGGCTGCAGATGCCGGTGACATACACATGCATCCAAACCTCATTCTTCTCGCGATTCGTCATTTGAGTGATTCTTCACCCACCCCCTTCACCTCACCACCTCGCCTTCGCAAAACCAACTCCCCTGGCTCTCTCTCTCTCTCTCTGATGGGATTCTGGGCAAAGGTGGGGACAGGGTGGTCAGGAAAGGAACTTAGTTCTTGAAGCTCTAATATAACCCCACAAACTAATTTTATTCAAGGATAAAACAGCAAACACTCTGCAGTTTAACTGTTAGCTGTTATTTTTTATCTGGAGTCGGTGCCAGGAAGTTGCAGTTCCAGGTACCCTGAGCAAGAAGTGTGTGTGGTGGTGGTGGGCACCCTCCCAGTCCCCGGAGTTTCTGGAAACTTCATCCCCATAGACCCAGATCAGGGATAATGAGGAGCCAAAAAGAAGCATCCTAAGGACTAGTCTATAGGGCATCCTCCCCCTAGAGCTCCTTTTCAAACTCCTTTGCAGAAGTTGGACACAGTGCCCTCCTTCCTTTGGGATTTTTGAGTACTTTTCGGCTTGCCGGGCTATTTCCTGTTGCTGACTTTCATTAGGGCTGAGTTGGGCAAACCGAGCTGTGCTGTGAGCAGACACAGGACTTCAGAAGCCCCAGAACTCAGAAACGGAGGAAGCTTGCGGGCTGCTGGCTGCAGGGCAGGGCTCCACCTTCGCCCCAGAGGCCACTGGCCCCGCAGCTTCGGAGGAAGGCGGGAAGCCTGTACACGCAGGCAGGCCGTCCTCGCCTGACCAGGACTGGCATCAGGGATCAAGGGATAGTCCCTCTGGGGTGGGCTGTGTCTGTGCCTCTGAGGAAGAACTTCTAGTCAGAAACTTAATCAGAACTTTCAAGTTCGATGTCCTGTCACCAGAAGTGGCTGAAGACAAGGTACTTCCTAGGGTGATAGCATGTCAATAGCTCCTTTGTGCCTGCCCTCTTTAATGAATGCTGTAATTTGGCACTCTCTGTAGTGTCTATGAAAAGAAGCTGCTAGATGGGAGAGAGGGCTGGGGGACTCTATAGAAAATCAGGGAGTATGTCTCTTAAAAATATTCCTGCACTGGTCCGGGATATTTCCCTCCAAATTTTGTTTTTTTTTTCCTGAGGGGACATTCAGGGAACTTCTCTGTGCCGCACATCAGCAGTTGGGTTCTCTCAGCCCAAGGAGAAAGGGAAATGGGACAAGAAGGAAAAGGCTTTGACAAAGGTTACTTCGACTGTTTTCAGGCTAAAGAATGGTTTGTCGGGCCTAATTAGAGCTGGCTAGCCAAAGCAGGAGTACCCTTGAGACCTGGCCTTGCTCTGTAGCTCAGACCTCGCCGGACTGTAGCCACCTCTTCTACAAGCTGTGGACCTCAGAGATCCTCTGGAAAACTCAGGCGTCTTACCACTTAAGAAATACCCTACACGTGGAGGAAAACCCACGCAGAACTTGATAAGGAAGAGTGTATGCCACACAAATAGCACAACCAACGGCCTTCGAGGCAGTCAGGTGACATCTTGGCCCCTTTCATTGCTGTCCACTCCACATCGGGCCAAGGCGAGCTCGACCCTCACAAAAGGCCACACGGCCACAGCCAGAATCATGAGAAAACCAGGTGTCTTACCGCAATCAGGGCTGAGTTCCTCTGGTCTCCAGGGGTCGAAGCTGGTGGCTGCTGCTCTCCATCGATCCCACTACCGCCACCACTATTGCTACTGTTCAGCAGGTGCTGCTGGTGGTGATGGTGATAGTCTGGAGGGGGCGGTGGGGCTGCTGTAGCTGATGCTTGGGAAGCTATAGGCGGGGCAGCAGGGGGCGGTGGAGGGGCTGCTGTGGTGGCAGCAGCCACGGTGGCCTTGGCGTGTTTGCCAGTCTTCCTTGCCCCCTGGCCATGCTGGACGAGGCTCAGGAGCTGCAAGGTGCTCTCTCTTTCCCGGTCTGAGCTCTCAGCTCTACCACGTTCATAGCGTCCTTCGCAGCTCAAGTGGTGCTGGCGGCAGACGGCGATCCGAGCCCGGAGGCGCTCCACAATGGCACTGTGCACTCTTGGGGTGACTGAACCCCCTCCAGGGAGCCCCGCCCCAGGGGCCCCTCCTAGCCCTCCTGTGGGGGCCTGTGGGGGCGCTGTGTCCCCCATCTTGGTGGACACAATGATTGCTGCCTCTGGGATGGTGAGGTGGAAGGAGGCTACTGCTGGCTATTGCAGGAAAATCTGTTTTGACAATGTGAGCTCAGTGTTCAGGGCCACATGAATAGAGGTCTTCAGAGGTTGGGGGTGCAGTGGAGGAGGTGTGGGGGAGGGGCGTCAGTAAAAGGATGAGGAACACGAACAGAAACCAATTGCAGAGGATAAGTTGGAAACGAACCCTGATCAACTTACTCTAATTGCATTTGACAGCTCCAGAGAAGTTGGACAGAGTTGGTGGGCCCCCCCCGCCCCCACCAAGCTGACAAAAGCTACTAGGTACTGTGTCAACCTACAACGTGGGGGTTAGAGCAAGAATTCAGGGATTGTCAAGCCAGAGACAGAAAGAGCCAGGGAAGGGAATCGAGAGAGGTATTAATAGAGAGCTGGACTCCCCCTCACCTAGTTGTAACAGAAATTCTTTACAGAGATGTTTCTGTTGAGAAACGCATTGCTACCCGGTCTATGTAACCCGCAGCCTTTACTTTTCCTCAGGTTAAGAAATAAATGCTGTTTTAGAAGGTTTTTGAAGTCAGTCTTGAAAACGCAAAAAATCAAGAAAGACTGTCTTTTGGCTTTTAATTTCTCCTCCCTTTCCCTTCGCTCCGGTGTTTTCTCCTCTTTGGGGACAGTGGGATGTCTTCTCCCCAAAGAGGGAGACGGCTTCTCAATTGTTAACAATGTCAGTAACTGGACTTTTGGACCATGCTTTTCTCTTCAGCTAATCCAATCACCGGTGAAATCCTCAATTCCCTCTAAGGTTTCCTAGCCTTAAATGAAGGCAGTCTGAAGTCACTAGCCACTGAGAAAGATCCTTCAACACATTTTCCCCCTCCCGCTTACGTTTCTGTCCCTCACCCCGGCTCTATTCTAATACAGTATCAAGAGAGACAAACTCTTCCCAGAGTAATTTACAAACGATGGTCAAACTTACAAACTTCCAGCAAATTTCACCGAGTCACGTCCCGACACTTTTCTGTCCACTTTTGTACATTCCATCCCGGCCAGTGGATCTGAGGGTCTGGACTCGCAATAAGCAATGTGCTTCTATCTCTTGTATTGCTCCGTTTTATAGATGGGGGGAAAAGTAGCTTGTATTTTCCTTTCTCTTTCCCGTCTGTTGTTAGCCGCTTTGCTGACCACTGGCTCCACTGCCCCGAGTCACGGCGATACACAGGCTTTCATTGTGCTCCGATAGGAGAGGGAGAGAAAGAGAGAGAGTGAGACAGAGAGGGAGAAAGAGAGAGCCAGCAAGCTGCAGATGGGGGGGGGGGCAGGGGGGCGGAGGGGAGGGCGAGCGTATCCGGGGCTCCCTGGTGGAAGGCTGGTGCCACTGCACGAGTGAGTAATTGCAGCCAGGCACCGGGGAAAGGGGAACGCAGAGGGCCTCCCAGTGGCTAAAGAGGTAAATCCCAAAGCCTGCGCGTCTCCCCAGCGCTCACTTAGCTCAGCCGAAGCCTGCACAGAAGGGGCAAGGCGGGGGAAATCCCCCAACCTCTGCACAACCACTTCATCAGCTGTACATATTTAAGAAATCCCCAGCCAGGGAATGTATTTTCCCTTTCAGACCTACATTACGCACCTCCTGAGGATATCATTTTCATTTTTCAATATGTTGTAAATGATACCACTAAGCACCCTAGCGAGAGCTGGGTGAGCACTGAGGAAATGTTCATTAGTAGGCTGTATGAGTGTAAGCGTGTTGGGGGTGGGGAGAAGGGGGGGGGGCAGGAGAGGAAATCACATTCATAGCTCCTAAAGGGGAGGCAGGTGTCTCTGGACCTGGGTGATCACAAGTAAATCAAGAGTGATAAAATATTTTATGATGAAATTACCAATACTAGTCCTAGAAAAAGGAAGAAAGTTTTTTGTTGTTGTTGTGGTTGAAAATGTAAGATTGCCAGCGACAAAACAAATGCAAGCTCCGAGGTCTCCATGGCTACCTGGTTTACACATGTCAGGAGGGAGGAAAAATCAATGCTTAAGCAGGTGAGTTTCAAGAAGTTTTAAGAACGCGAACCAAATCGATCTCACACAGACTGATGTCCCTCATCTCCAGATGATCCTATCTTTAAGATCCCAAGATATATACTGAATTCTGCTTGCCATGATTAATTATAGAGAATAAATTAGGGGGAGCACAATATTGGGATAATCAGGTCCATTAAGTGCTGTAACTGTGTATGTCATTGGAAGTCACTGGATTGGAGGTCTCAAGCAATGGTACTTTAATTCAAACCACCTTTGGCACCTCAGTAACACAGTCCAGCTTCAAAGTGAGATATGCATAGAAATGAGTGGGTAAGATCAGTGCAAACATTTAGAGACAATTTATTTGCAATTGTAGTTCCAGATAAGCTGGCCTAACTTGTTCATTTTATTTTCCACAATCCGGGAAGGTTAGTTTGGAATTGAGGACAAGTACATTCTGATGGAACAGAACTTTTATACTTTTCATTGGAACATGCTTCTATCTGTTCCTCCCCAGACTAAGTTCCTCACCACTCATGAGGACAAAGGCATAAATATACCTTGGTTAGGTATGCAAATTTGAGAACTCTCTCAGGAGCTGTCGTTGAAAAGTGAAGGAGTTTTGATCATTTTATATTTGATTTTTTTAAAGTCGTATTTATTAGATAATACCTCTTCTATTACTATGGGTACTTTATATTCGGCAGTCATACTTGATGAGAAAAAAATGCTGTATTTAAATTTAAAACTTATTGTTCACTCTAGTCATGCAGTAGTGCAGGTTTTGATTAACATGGAGCCCTTGGCCAAATCTATTCCTAAATGATGTCAACTTTGATTTCTATGCTAGACAGGGACATCTTACAACTTGTCAAGCAAGGCTTTAATAAATTTTCATATTATATTCCAGTGTTTTAGGACCCTTCTTTATAGTGTCTTTTGTATACATTTACCCTTTATAGCCATTTAATTTCAAGCTGACATCATTATCAACTATACCTTCATTTCCATTCAAATGTTACTATTTATTTACAATCACTGTTTTAGGCACAGCCCTTAGTATAGATTTCTCTTAATATACAAACAGTCTGAAGAGATAGGTATCATGAAGCCCATTTATAAATGAGAAAACTGAAGTGCATCAAAATTAAACTACTTGCTCCAGTACATGTAACTGGGAGATAACAAACTAGGACTTAAACTCAAGACTGATTTCAAACCTATGCTTTCTTAACCACTGGGCTACAGCTTCAGTATCACAGGAAAGCCGGACTATTCCCAAAATAGCTCAAGGGCTGCAATTACATCTCAATCAACATGCTGGAGTCTAAGCAAGCCCAGTAATACCGCCAAGAAGTGAGTGCTGAATCGAACCACTCATCTGAGTATGAGAGCAGTCAAGGGAGGAAAAATTGGTCACTTTCAACTCTCCATAAAATAAAAAATATTTTCCTTGTTTTCCCCTCGTCATGGTGCTTTCCCCTCCCTTATAACCCTAAACTTTCTGTAAAGCCTCGTGCATTCTTTCAAGTATTACTTCCCTTTCACTTGTCCATTTGTCTTTCCTCATCGTTATCTCCTCCTCGTTGGAGCTACTGAACGCCAAAGCACCTAACGCTACAGCAACGAATGCCCAGATCGAAAAAGTTCACAGATGTGTGAGATTTGTAAGTTTACAATTTCTCTTTTAGTGCCATACTGACCAATGATATAGATGATGATAAAATAATACACTATGTCCTAACACCTGTAAAAGTTAGTTCTATTTTTCAACGTTATTTATTTTTACAGACTTCTTGCTTTTGGTCTCCTGACCTATACTAATTCTCATTTCCTAAAAGCCTGTCTCTTCTTCATTCTTCGGTGTTATCATGTAGGAGAGGCCTCTTACATTTTTCTCTCCAAACACCCACTGAAGAAGCTTGCTCGTTTGCAATGACCTCAGACATCAACAATAAATGCATGGACTCCTCACATGAAACATCAGCATCAGTATTTTCACCACTTTGTGAGCTTTTGCTACCTGTTTTATTTACAATAGTAGGAATAACTTCAGATAATTAGTTTTAAAATATTAATATTTGATGATTCAATAAAATGTAGTTTTTTGTGTATGCACATACATGAAGTCCAAGCAGTGTACCATATAATAGATGAAGCCAGGTTCAACCAACATTTGAAATAAGAAACAAGTACCTAAAATTCTACACTAAAATAGATGTTGCTAGAACACCAGTTTTAGGAATTAAAGGTACAGAATACACAGAGTCCATCTGTTTGCTCTGAAGCCATTTTACTTTATTATGAGACAATTTAGATGTGCAAAGCAATGCAGACGCCAAAACACATACTTTTTTATTTAGGGACTTTGTTATTATTGATTTTAGAGAGAGGAAGGGAGAGAGAAAGCACGCACGAGAGAGTGACTGACCCCTTTGCTGTTCCACTTATTTACGAATTCATTGGTTGCTTCTCGTTTGTGCCCCGACTGGGGACAGAACAACCTTGGGTATGGGGGTGATGCTCTAACCAACTGAGCTACCTGGCCAGGGTCAAAATATGCTTTTAAACTATTTTTGGATGAACCTATCTCTCTTGAGATTTTCTGATTCTAACATAAATACTTACATGGGAAAATTACTGATAAAGATAAAATACATCTTAATTATTAATATACAGACAAAATTGAACAGAAGAGGAAAACACTGTGAAGCATGAAACACATATTATGGAATTATTCCTGAAGTGAAGGTTAATACTCTGGAGGCCTGAAATCTGCTTTACTTGGAATAGGTAAACTATAGTCTGATTCTGAGCAAAGGGATTAAACTGAACAAAATATTGAGGTTTCTTCCATGGTCCACTGATTTAAATGGTAGTAGTAAAAAATATATTTGTAAAGATAGAATAATAAATCAATATAGGCAGGGATTAGCAATAAATACACGTTGATGATGGTCTAAGTACATTTTAAAAATACAATATTTTTCTATTAAAGTGACAGACATGAATGGCTATTCACATGATAATCATCTGTCATAAAGGTATTATTATATAACTTCAAAACACACTTAAAATTACTAAGCTTGTATTTTCTATGTGCAGCAGATGAAAAGTTTTATTAGACTATAGAATGCCACTTCATGGAAATTAAGGTGAACATGTTTTAAACAAGATATTTTGCCATGAAGACATACATACAATATATAAATGTCACATGATACAGAGAAACAAAAGTCATGATCTTCACATTTAGAGGAATTTATAAAATCTTCTCTGAAGGAAATGTGTTACAATTCAAACTTCTCATCTTGAAAGTAATCCGCATCATTGAGATATTCTTGAAGTTGACCATATCTCTGTGTACAATAAAAAAGCTAGTTATTTTACTCAAAGCAGTGATGATAAGCTAGGCCTTTTCAATCTACAGACACAAACAGGAACAATTTCATTTTGCGGTAATCGTAAACAAAAGTCTTTTAAAAATGAACAGGGGCTCGATTTCAAATGAGCATTTCTACCTCATATAAAACATTGGAAAAAGATCAGACTGAACATGATTATTAATTTCATAACTTTCTTGTAAATTGTATTTTTATATATTTATAGAAGTGTTGCAACTTCAATAACTTATTCAAAAATTTGTTAGTAACATATATCAAAAATTCAGCTAATGATTGGGTAAAAAAGATACATAAATTTGCTCTCCCTATCCCTCATGAGAATGGAGTTCGGAGCACACCAACGGCAACCAATAACAAATGCCATAAAGAAGTACAGACACTGTCTGGAGGCTGCAGAAGGGGGGGGTTCATGGTGAACTGAGGTAACAAGGAAAGAGTGGCATCTAAGCTGTCCTGGGAAAAAAAGATTTGTTAGGTAAAGGTTCGGTGGGGAGAGTTTTCCGTAGGACAGAACAGTCCATACAACAGCGACAAGACAAGGAAGTTTGGGATTTTACTATAATCAGGTTTTTTTAGAGGAACAGAGAGAGAGAGAAGACTGAACCAAAGCGGCTGAGGTCAGGGAATAAGGAGTATGAAGTGCTAGGTTGAGGAGTTCAGCAATAATGTGGCAGTCAGTGCAAAGTTGTTAGAGGTGTGGAGGCAGGAGACTGACATGATCCAAAATGTATTTTTTTTAAAATGGTAAAACATCCATTCTAGAAGTTTGGTAACTAGTTAGCAGTCTACTGTAATAATTTGTATAACAAGAGCCCAAATTTGAGTGACAGCAATAAAGATAGAGAGTTAAAAATAAGGTTAGAACAAGAAAGAGAGGAGTCAGGAT